GCAGCACAGCACTCTTTTCCACCCCCAAGCACACGACTACACATGCCTAGAGCGGACACAGGGAGATCATTTATGTGGGTTACAGATTATTGTCAAGGCCATTCCAATGACAAAATGATAAACTAAAGTAAATACCTAGAAAATAAGTGCATACTGTTGTGTCTTTCTCTTGGATTCTGTTATGTACAGCGCCAAACGCTGTCCTGTAGAAAATCCTCAGACTCCTAAGTTATAGCAAAGATGTATACATTACATGAATCAGGACATGCACATGTAACAACTGTCAGTGAGGAAAGACTTGCTTTCTTAACACTATGACTCGCTCAGTGTACTTGAAGTGCAATTTATTTATTTATTTTTAAAGATGTATATTGGGAATACGTCTTTAGATGGAAAGCCAACAGATGCACAACCTCCTCCATGAAGTTCGTGTTTGACACTTCTGACATTTTAAGGTTAACGAAAAATAGGGTCAAGTTAAGGCAACCAAGCTAGGCATTCTTAACTCTTCATAAACTTTCTTTGTACGTATTAACATAGCCTTAAAAACAACAAGTTTCTGATCAGATAATTCACTTTGTGTAAACAGGCTCTGCTGCTTCTTTCTTCCAAGAATGGATGAAGTTTATTCTTATATAATTGTTTCCTTGGGTGTGACAGGTCCTCCATACAAGGCTGACTCACTGTAAAGTTCAAGCTTCGGGTTTAGTCTGGCAGTGTCTGAGCTGTTTTACGAAGAGTTTTTTTTTTTTTTTAGCTTAATTACTCTTTGCATTCAGGTGGTTGAACAGAAATGGTGTGTTTGTTAGGAATTAATTTCTCTGATTCTGCTGCAGTGTGTGTGGGCATGTAGCATGGAATCTAGACCTCTTCACCCTCTTATTGATAAGAGTGTCCCCAACTGCTACAGCAAATGTAATTTTACACTCACTTGGCTCTGGATAGTGTAATAAAACTTCATAAGACAAGGTGCTTATAAGGCGTTTTTCAACCGTCATTTTATAAGAAAGGGGTTGAAAATAAATATCAGTTCTTTATGTCCTTGGAATGAATTTGGCTGCTTGTTTATGAGTATGTCTGTGCAACTATATATAGAGAGCACATAAGGTTTCTCTTGCTGTTAGAAGGAATCAGCGACGGGCTGATTATGTTCTTTGTACTGTACTGGATAGCACACTTGGCAGTGACCAGTCTTGTCATTTTTAAGAGTGAGTCTGTCACTGCCAGGGCATTTTCTTGGATCCATTCCTGTCCTCGAGCAGCTCAACAGTTGGAGTGCGATTGGGAGTGGAGTGGCATGATGACTGTAGAGGCAATGTGGCTGTGGAGAATGATACTGGCATGTCCAGGCTCTCCATGGAGTCAGAAAGGGTTCGGTTGGTTTCGTGCTGTGGACAGAGGACATAATGGTTGGGGTGGTGGACCTCCACTGTGGTCACAGACTCCAGGCCTTTCAAGCAGAGAGGGGATGAGCGTCCAGTGGGGTCACGACCACCAACGGCTCCAAGCTCCATGGAGGACTCGTCCATGTTCACGTATAGAATCTCATCTGGATCTTGGGTCTGGCAGATCCTCAAGGGCTTTTTCGAGCTCACAGCGCAGTGACCGAATGATGACGATCTTTTGGGCTGCAGAGGTAATTTCTTCCTACATAGATCTCTACTTTATTTAAAAAGACTTTTGCACACATAACTACAAAGCACTCTATAAAAAAAGCATTTTACGTTATGTATTGAGTATGATTTAATCAGGTTACCAAGAAGACTTGAAAAATAGAATGAATCACCATCCTGTAGAATGGATACTCATTGCTCAATCATTTTGTTTTTCCTTGCACAGCTGCACACAAACGCATTCTCTGGTTTTTTTTTTTTCACTCAAGTGCCACTCCTCTGCTGGGGCAAAGGTTATTTGAATCAGGTTCTTCCAAAACAAACACAGTGATGCAGGGCTGGGTGTAGTACCCTGATCTACTCCTCCCTCACTGCTTGTATAAAATAAGGCATCTGGGTGGTATTAGTGCTTGATCACAGGGAGTTATTCTCCTACTTTGTTCTGCTCGCCATCTTACTGACTGCAGCCATGTTTGTTTCTCCTCCTGGCTATCAGCCAATCTATAGCCCGGTAAGTATCTGCACGCACTGATACCCACAAAAATATGTTTTTTCTATTAGGTCTTAAACAAGCGTCATTGTTTTTGTTCTGTTAATAACAATAATATTTGAGCCTGTGGCACTGTGTGAATTTTATGCTGAGAAGATGTATAAATTGTCCTTAGGTTCTCATAGTTTCATTACCATTACAGGATTTTGCAATTTATGAACTGAAAACTGCAATCACTGAACATACTTTGTTAAAGAATTAAGATAATATCACAATGGAAGGTCGGCTGTTTTTGTAAGGAGAAACCCAAAAAGTGACACCACAAAGCAGTTCAGAGGAATCAAAAATGACTTAGTCTTTTCAGTTGGATCTTCATTTTAGTTATTCAGTTTTCTCCAGTGGTTCCCAAAGAATACACATTTAAATGGGGACATTAATGAAGGCACGAGATTAGGAAAGGTTACAATGCTTAGAACAGGATAAGTAAACAAAGTTCTATTTGACCATAGTACTGGTCACGGTTACTAGTAGAAGGATAGACTAACAATCTGTCAGATAATGAAGTGTAGGTCTGGATATATAGCTAAATTCAATTCAGTTGCATTTATTATAGTGCCAAATCATGACAGCTGTCGCTCAGCCAGGCCTCAACAATCAGATAGCCCTCTGTGATCAAGCACTTGGGAAGGATAAACTTCTTTTTAACAGGGATAAACCTCCAGCAGAACCAGGCTCAGGGACAGGCACAGGTGGATATAGACGAGGCGAAACAGTTGCTCAAAGTGAATCAGAGATGAATAGTAATCCTTGCTTTTATCTAAGCAGTATGAAATATTAGTTGCTGAGAGGGACTGGAAAGAGACCATATTTCTCTGATAGTAGCAATTTAAAATCCTTCTACTCACCTACAAGGTACCATATAAACCCAATAGACCCTTGCTCTCAGATGGCAGACTTATTTGTGATTTCTTGGTATTTCAAGCCCCTCGTTTGTGGAGACAAGTGTTGTGCCAAGTAGATATGCCAACAGAATTTGTTTCCCCTGCACTGGGAGGATTTGCTGGGCAGGGAGAATGGATCCAATTGATTACGCCCGAATTAGAACCAACTAGACATGGAAGAAATTAGCTCTTTTAGTGAAAACGTGAAAAGTGAGTGTCATTACATTACCGTTCAGTTTATATGTTACAACAGAAAATTATATATTTATTGTTCTCTTGTGTTATCGAATGGGATTATTTCAATAAACTTTCAGATAACTGGCGATTATTATTTGTATCCTCTTGTAACTTTACTGTATAAAGAGCTAAAAGCTCCAACATTTCAGGAGTCATTATAAGAAGTGTTTGTGAACTAAAATGAACAATTTGGGATACTGTTTGTCTGTGATTTGGACACATGCTAGGTAGTAATGTCTTTTTAAGTAATGGTTAATCACGGCCACCTTAAAGACCTCTGTACATGGCATCTTAACAGAGACAGGCTGATCATATTTAAGACTTGTCCACTGTGGTGTATACAGTCAAAAATACAAAAATTGTGTATTCGTCCCAGAATTACGGTGGACAGTGTATATAATGTATGAACTGAATGTGTTTTGTCATGCCCAGTAACACACAGAGAGAGGCCAAACTGGGAGAGTAAGAACTGTTGCGAAATTAGATAAACACCAGTGTGTGAATGCGAGAGTGAATGAATAGTGGCATTGTAAAGCGCTTTGGGTGCCTTGAAAAGCGCTATATAAATCCAATCCATTATTATTATTATCATAGATAGATTCACAATGCTGTCCATACTGCCCAGGCTTTTGTGTTAAATATTGAAATGCTGAGCCTCTGTTGGCTTCAAAAATGATTTCACTGAAACAAATAAACAACAGATTTGGTACAAATCAAATTGTTTGGAAATGCCTGATTAATATTTACTAGAGTACTGTAATTAAGCACTGCAAAGTAATTTGATTTAGCTGATTAATCATAACATGACTGACATTTGTAAGTGTACTTCATAGACTTGCATACAACACACAGTGTTGCTGTGTTATAGTTACTTAATATTTTGTCCATGGCACAGAACAAACCCTATCTAGGGCCTATTTATGGAGGGCTGAGGAAGGGATGTCCATCTATATCCAGGGACCATTCCTAAGCACATCACCAGGTGAGTGGAAGACATAAACTTGTGACACTGTACACTTTGCAAGAAATTATTATAGTTAATAGCTGTTAAATATATTTTGTCCATTCTCAAGTGGTTATCATTAGTTATAAGGGGCTGGACAGCGTCAACGCGTTAACGTGCTAACCGCGCTAATGCGGTGAAACCATCCAGCCCCAGGCACGGCGATCCGCGGTAACTCGTTAACGGAGATTTAATGCAGTTATGAAGTGAACATCATTTTAACGAGATTAACGCTGACAGCATTAATTTTATTTTCTCTTTCTTTCTTTTCATTGGCAGGTTCTTTATCAACCTGATTTGCGGAGAATATGAATCCAGCGACATTGCCCTACACTTCAACCCTCGATTTGATGGCTGGGACAAGGTGGTCTTCAACACCTGTCAGAATGGATCCTGGGGATTAGAGGAGAAGATTCACAGGATGCCTTTTCGAAAAGGAGAGCATTTTGAAATGGTCATCATTGTTAATTTTCAGGGCTATCAGGTCAGGTAAAACTGTTTACAGACAATGCAAACCATTTCTCCTTTACTTTATCCTGTAAGTAAAGACTCAATAAATGTTTATACTCACTATAATATAATTATAAGGTATTAGTTATAGTCAGTCAGTTATATTATTACCACTTATGCTTCTTTTACTTCTGTATTGATTTAATGCAACACCAATATGACATTATTCTGTTGCAGATTAAAGTAAATGGGATTGATTTCCATACTTTCAACACCGCATCCCTATGGAGCAAGTTCGTGGGCTGCAGATTGCAGGAGATGTTTCCATCCAGATGATTAATTTTATTGGGGTGAGTCCTCAGCTCCGTGAATCTTCCGCATTGATGCTTCGGGCTTTGCTGGGAAAAATAAATTAAGTCAAAATTATCAAAAGTTTAGATTTAACAAGTCTGGCAGCTGTTGGCTAAGGATTTCTGCTTATGTGCCCAATAGGGCATGCATAGGTATCATGAAGGAATGGGAATAATTAAAAAAGAACGTGTTGCATCATATTCAGAAAAATCTTTTCTTTCATGTTTTGCTGGGTTTAAAAGTCATCTCTTTACAAATGTGAAATTAGCAGATGAATAAATATGTTTGTATGAATGAATGAATATGTATTTTCTATCAATATGCCAGATTTCTCCTTGTATTTCAAACAACACAATCTTCTGTGTTTAATCATTATATGGTCAACAGCACTTACTTTGTGAAGATTTTGTTTTTAATTCATTTTTTCCCTATTTGATCTTTTTAGGGTGGAATGGGAGGAGGAATGGGAGTGAGTATATATATGTAATATCAAAATGATACAAATTAATTTACCACAGCTTTTTCATGATTACAGTCATTCCCTGCTTTTCAACAGGGAGGATATCCAGGAGGTGGCATGGGGGTATGTTACTTTTGCTGAAGCATGTTTGCATTCTGTTTATTTAAATATTACTGTAGTGAGATAAAGTGTGCATATATTTAATTTGAACTGCACCGTGCTTCTTTTGACATCCAGGAGGTTACCCAGGTGGCATGGAGGAGGAATGGGAGTAAGTGTACTGAGTAATTGTACATTTGCTTTTGATAAGATCACTGTAATTTTTCAATTGCCACATTAGAATTCATATTATTCAACATTCATATTTGAACCTTTCAGCCAGGAGGATATCCAGAAGGTGGCATGGGGTATGTTACTTTTGCTGAAGCATGTTTTGCATTCAGTTTCTTTAAATATTACTGGATCTGTAGTGAGAGGAAGTCTGCACATTTGAACTGCACTGTGTTTCTTTTGACTTCCAGGAGGTTACCCAGGTGGCATGGGAGGAGGAATGGGAGTAAGTGTACTGAGTAACTGAACATTTGCTTTTGATAAGATTGCTGTAATTTTTCAAGTGCCACATTAGTACCCAAATGGTAAAACATACATATTTGAACTTTTCAGCCAGGAGGATATCCAGGAGTGGCATGGGGGTATGTTACTTTTACTGAAACATGTTTTACATTCAGATTCTTTAAATATTACTGGATCTGTAGTGAGAGGAAGTCTGCACATTTGAACTGCACTGTGTTTCTTTTGACTTCCAGGGAGGTTACCCAGGTGGCATGGGAGGAGGAATGGGAGTAAGTGTACTGAATATTGTATATTTTCTTTTGACAAGGCCACTGTAAGTTTTCAAATAACATGCTAGTACACACATCATTAAACAAACATGTTTGAACATTTCAGCCAGGAGGATATCCAGGAGGTGACATGGGGTAAAAAAAATACTTTTATTCCTCAGATTTACATTTGCTATATTATAAAATGCAGGTCACACATATGTAATAGAATAAAGTAATTTTAAAACTTCTGATTGATTCCTTGCAGGATGGATATCCAGGATGCATGGGAGGTGGAATGGGGGTATCGAATTATGCTATAACTTAAATAATCTGTGCAAGCTGACTTTTTATGACAAAAATCTGAATGAATTAAAATTTTCCTTCTTTTATCTTTTTTTTGTGTCTTTCATTTTTATTTATTTATTTATTTTTATTTCTTTCTGTTGTTATTATTATTTAAGGGCGCCTTTCCAGGCTCAAATCTGCCGGTGAGAACAATGCACAAAAAATCGACACGTTCTTTTTATACACCGTTCATATATATTCACATTTGCTAAACCTACTCATATTTTCTATCTACTAATCAGGGTATGAGTGGGCAGCCAGTCTACAACCCTGTAAGTAAAATTTGCATAACACTCAACTTTCAGTCCAGTCACTGACTCCACGGGTATTATATTGAAAGATTAAATCTGAAAATATGAGGTGAATTTAGTCAAATGAAGATGATTTGTTTAGAGAACATAAACAAGCTCACATGCTGAACTTTGTTTAATGAAAATGTTCAATTTTACCTTTTCTATTATTATGACTAAGAAAAGCATGTGGTTGTGAGGCTTGAACTTTTGTTGGTTTCTGAAATGATGCATAACAAAGAAAGTTTGACAATCACTGTTTTGTACACCTCTTATGAGGCCACCTGTGTTACTGTGTAATACTGTAATATTCATATAAGATATCTCATTTTGTTTTTAAGCCTGTGCCCTACTCCAACATCATCCCAGGAGGGATGTTCCCTAAGAGGACCATCGTCATCAGAGGCATGGTTCCCTATGGAGCACACAAGTGTGTGATTTTAAGACTACTTGCCGAAATCTCTAGTGCAGTACTAAAGTGCTAACATGAATGTTTAACGCTCATGGATGTGTGTTTCAGATTAAGCATCAAGTTTTTGGTGAGCAGATCTCGAGATGTCGCTTTCCACATCCATCCGAGATTCAGGAAGGAATTGTTGTAAGAAACAGTATGATTGGAGGAAACTGGGGCCAGGAGGAGAGAGAAATGAGCATGAATCCATTTATGGAGGCCAGTACTTTGATGTAAGTAACATCAGTCACGCAGTCGTAATATCAAGTCCTGATGATGAATTTTAGAAGCAAATTTTAATGTGATTTTGGCAAATTCTAGAAAACTTTGTGTGTCAGCATTCAAAAGTTTTCCCTCTGTCCCTCAGATGTCAATCCGTTGTGGAAACCAGAGGTTTAAGGTGTTTGTGAACGGGCAGCACCTGTTTGACTTTTCCCATCGCTGGCAGTCCTTCAATGAGATCGACATGCTGGACATAGAAGGCGATGTGCAGATCTCCTACATCCATTTCTGATACCCCCCCTCCCCAAAAAATAAATAATTTTGTGCAACTTTCAAAACTATGTCATCCACAAAGTTGCTTATCTCAGTTTCTTACCTGCTTTTAGATCAGATATCTCAATAAGATCAAATGTCACCTCAGTATCTGCTGTATTGTTTATACCAGTTAACTGAATTAATAAATCATTAATGATTCATGAATTAATTGATTTATTTCTTATGCAAAGCTTCTTCAGTTCAAAGTCAAATGGTGGAGAGTCCAGATTTAAGCTCTGTGGGAGTAACCCACCGAGAGGGACAATGGACCCCCTAATGATCCTCTACCTAATCACATGAGCCAAGGTGTGAAAATGGGTGTGGATCACAATCAGCCAAGGTTTCAGGTGAGCTCATTGTGAAACCTAGCCCCACCCTATCATGTGATTTCCTGAGGTCAGATGGCCCAGGATGTGAGTGGGCATTAAGGCATCTGGGAAGGGATCTCAAAACTGGATTATAGATGGCAGACAGTTGGTGTCGTAAACCACTGCCTCTGTTCAAAGATGGTCGCTCACAGTGGACGTAAATGGCTTCTTTTACTCCTCTTTCAAACCATCTGACCAAAATGTGAACATTGGCATCCTCGAAAGAGAGACCTTTGTCCTTTAGATGCAGATGGACCACCAAGTCTGAATAGTTTATATTAATGGGCCAATAGGTTCAACTATAGGAGCACGGGGGTGTGTTTAAATGAGACACAGACAGGAACGTGACTGGAAAGAACCAGTCTGCTTTAGTGAACCAAACCATAAGTTCTGACAACCACAGGGTTAAGGCACTTTACAGAATTGTGGAAAAGAAAATTACAAAAAATTAAAGAAAAGTAAAACCACACAAAACTACTAATATAGCACCCTGGCCAAGTGTTAGCTTTTAGCTCTCAATGTTGGGTGCACCCTGGTAACTGACTCCTTAACTTTTACAGAAAACAGATGACTCAAATTCAATGTCCATTCTAATGAAGATCTTACACACCATTCACATGTGGAAAATGTTCTACACGGCAGCTTATTATTCAGAGTCCTAAATAAAACTTGTTCAAGGGGTATAGTCCAAAAATTCCCAGGGTGCGAAAGAAATTAGGGATGAGAAAATTTCAGTCAGTGCTCTTTCATATAACCACCTGAGTGTGAAAGTGTGAGTGATACAGGCCTACCACACCGCAAGGTGCAGCAGATCATCAGGTGGAAAAGAAGGAAATCTCGGTCTCAGAAGAGGAATTCAAATACTAATTATGCTGTTCTAGCTATAATCCACAACTTAGGCTTGTGTTGAGATCATATTAGACATCAATTTGCAATTAAAATACTCAAATTTGCAAAAAAAAAAACCCACTTCTCTTATACAACCTATCCATTACCGCAATGTATTGTCAAAACATTTTTTTGTAAATTGCAAAATAAGCACTTTTCCAAAAACAATAGGAAAACATTAAAACTTACCAAGCAAATTATATAAAGTTATTGCATATGCAACAATTATTAATCAAAATAATTCAGATGAATTCAGTTATACAACAATAAGTTGTTCAAATAACTTTTGATTTGAACAAACAGACAAAAATTAACTGAGGCATACACAATATGTGCTCACCGATCTCAGTGCATCATGCTCTCATAGTGATGTGCGAATCATGAACGAATCGTTCAATACTCGAGAATCACTTTACTGACTCGTGAATCATGATTCACAAGCCCAACTGACTCGTTGACTGACTCATCCCTGTTATCAGAATCAGAATCAGAATACTTTATTGATCCCTGGGGGAAATTATTTTTTGTTACAGTGCTCCATTTTAAACTGAAGCAAACTAATTTCATTAGTAGAAATATATCTAGCTCATAATTAAAATTGTGGAAAAAAACAACAACAACCAGTTTCTTAACAAAAACAGTTCTGCTCTGGACTGGACGAAAAAACCCTGAGTAGAAACCTCACATCAAGACAATAGCTCATCAGTTCACAGCATCGCTGTGCTAACATGCTAACAGCACATTTGAGCTACTCAAACATGCGGGGCTCTAAATGACATAACAGGGCAAGTTTTTTACTCTTTAATGACAGTAATATGATGTCTCAACGTGAATACAAATAAACATAAGTTGTACTTTAAGTGTTACCTCACTCCTGGAAGCAGAATGAGATGAACTTTCAGGCAGTTGATAACAAATTAGACTTAACAAGGCTAACAGTTTAGCTCCACACAGTGCTCTATAAAGTCACTGGAAAACTGTAGCATCCGACTATTTACTCACTGCCACTATTTTCAATATGGAACATCGCTGATAACCAGTGAACTTATGTGCAGCAGAATTTGTCGCAAACTTATATCTAGTACTTTTTCCAACTTAAAAACTTCAGTGTCTCAGCAAACAAAACACTGCAGCACAGCACTCTTTTCCACCCCCAAGCACACGACTACACATGCCTAGAAGCGGACACAGGGAGATCATTTTATGTGGGTTACAGATTATTGTCAAGGCCATTCCAATGACAAAATGATAAACTAAAGTAAATACCTAGAAAATAAGTGCATACTGTTGTGTCTTTCTCTTGGATTCTGTTATGTACAGCGCCAAACGCTGTCCCTGTAGAAAATCCTCAGACTCCTAAGTTATAGCAAAGATGTATACATTACATGAATCAGGACATGCACATGTAACAACTGTC